GTTTTGAGCCTGATCCCTTCCCATCCAGTCACAAACCCCCTTCTGTCTTGTCCCAGTCCTTACAGTAGATGTCTATGCTGGACAATGGGCATTGACCCTATTCCTAATTTATGGTCAAGTTCCTTGTTAGGGCCACAGCCCTTCATAAACAGTGACTGCTTGGCTGAGCCAAACTCTTGCAGACTCCTCTCCCTTGAGTTATCCCCCGCTGCTGTCTCCTCTCCTACCTTGAGCCTCCCCTCCCCACACCGTTCTCTGGCTGGGAATCAGCTTTTTGAACAAGATCGCACACCTCCTTGCCTAAAGCCAAGTGCTATCACCCAGCTGAAGGCGAGCATGGGAGCCACACACTGCACTGCTGCTTGCACTTGACCCCAGACCCTGTGGTCCTGTGACGGTCTACCAATCCTCAATTCTAGGGTGCTCCTGTTACCTACGGATCCCACTCTCCCTCTGAGTTTGTTATGGGCCATAGAGAACAGGACTGAAGAACTCTGATGAAGATTCCACTTACCATTACAGTACTTGGCACATAAGACAGCAGAGGAATCACTTCACTCGCTGTTGAGTGCTTACTAAGTGCGAGGCACTGCTGAAGAAGCTTTCCATGAATTACATCATTTCATCTGCAGAACGATGCTAAGAGACAGGCACTAGTACTAATTGTCCAGATTAGGAAACTGACACACAGTACGCATCCATCAAGTGTTTGTGGAATGAGTGAGCTTGCAGTGGGCCCACAGTTGTCTGACAGTCATTTTAGTGGTCCATTCCCCTAGCATAAGTTTTCAATGCATCATCACTCAACTCTCTGACCGACCTCTGCCCTTCTCTCCTTCTTTACCAAAAGGATCAGATGGAGAGCATGTAAACTCTGCACTGCTCTGCTATCTCAAATGTTCATCCTTTTCACTTAAAATGTCTTTCTCTACATTTTCCCCCTCCTGGAAGAAGACATCATTTTGAAAGTGCTCTCCTCCCCATGTGAGTTTTGTCTCACACCTAGTACTCCTTGGACCCCTGCTTGAACCCTCCTGAGCCACACCTTCATTCTCTACTTCTTGGTTCATCAACACTCCTATTGCCAGAGCACAAGCAGAATCTCACCTCTTCCATGAAGAGAATCCCTGCTCAACCCTACTACATCCTCAGGTCACTCTCTCTTCATCACCAAATTTCTCCAAAAGATAACCTCAGTCTCCTTCCCTTCATTACCAAAATCCACGCCCTTAACCACACGATTGGAATTTCAACTCCAGATCCTTAATGGAAACTTGTGAAAAGTTCTCAAAGCCATCCTGGGTCTCTTCCCCCACATCGCTCCCTGGTCACAAGTCCAGATCTTGGAAGTTGGTGTCCAGGCCCTCCCCAGTCTGGTTCCTAGCCATCTCTCTTTGGCCTGGTTTCCTTCACATTTCCATGGGTTTCACACATTCAAAACTCACCTCTCCTTCAAAGTTCCTTTTGAAATGCTCTCCCTTTCATGAAGCTTGCTCAAATCATAACTGTCTCTAAATTCTTAGCTTCTATTTGTACTTCTAGTTAGTGCCTATTAGATGTGCACACAAGCTGTGCTTGCCTAGTACACAAAAACTCTGCAAGGCAAAGGTCACACCCTATCCTTATTTCCCATAGTAAATGGCAGTGCCAAGACTAGGGCAAGGCAAAAAGGGTGCCTCGGCAGCAAAAATTAAGAGGCGCTCATCTTCAGGTTCGGATTAACCACAGTGTCAGCACTTACATTTGGTACCCTAGGTGCCTCACTAGCCCCACGCTGGTAACTACGTGTGACTCTTTGACATGGATTGAAAATAAATGAATCATAAACCAATGAATCAGTAAGATGATGACAGTGTAAGTACTTCAGGAGGTGATTCCTTATCTTCAATGTCAATGAAATTGGGGATAAGTATAGAATGCAATCATAATCAGTGAGACAGGAAGGCAAGGCTGTCAGGGAGTGTCTAGGAATATAAATGAAAACACCAGGAAGACTCTCCCCTCTTCTTCCACAAGGTGCCATCCTGTCTGAATATGGCACCTGGAATTATTTACTGCAGCCACACTAGGAAGAGCCTGGGGATGAAACCAATAGAGAGCAGAAAGGCAGAGCCAAGAGAGAGGGAGCCGGGCCTGCCCATTCTCTAGACTTCTCATGGGAGACAATGGATCATTGTTATCAGCCTCTTTCCAGCCAGGGTTTTCCGTCACTTAGTTCAGCCAAAATAATACTGATATGGTGTCATTTCCCAGGAGAGAAGTGTGTGGCCGAAGAGGAAGCCAGGCGCCTGCTGCACCTTTTCTTCCTTCTCCCAAGAGAGGGATGAATGGGTCAGGGGTAAACCTGGCCTCTGAACTTTTGCTCCTGAAAGCCTCAGGGGTCAGAACTAGCCACAGCCCCACCATGCTCCTGTCCCCCATGTGAGAAGCAGATCACGCAGGCTCTCCAGCTGACCCAGAGAGAATGATAGTTCTCCAGCTGCTTTTCTTCAAACTAGCCAGAAGCAATAGGATACTGAGCTTCAGCCTGGTATCCAAAGTACATCCTCTGATGTAGTTTTAGCATTTGTAAAGTTGATTCTTTGATTCCCATTTGGCCCGTTCTGCCTGGTTCCAAACAAGTTAAGAGATAGAGGTCATTAGATACTCCCAAATTCTTCTCAGAAAGTAATCATGTTACATTTCACCAAATTAGGAAAGTGGAGAAAGCAAAGACGAACAGTTATTTTTATGAGAAAAAGTCTGTGGCATTTGAACTTTGGTTTCAGGCAAAGGTGGACTAACATGGGCAGGACTTACCCTCACATGTGAAACAATGAAAAATCAGCACAAACACACGAAACAACAGCTCTTAGGAGAGCAAATCTAAGACAGCAAAGGACAGTGAGCTCTGAGAAATGGGAAACAGAGTGTTCCGGAACTACAGCTGTGCCAGTGCACAGCCTTGCGAGTGTTGACAAGTTATATCTCAGGGGAGGAGTACATACAGGAAGACCAGTGGTCTCCTTGAATAAGGAGAAAGAGCTGGGAGTCCAGGGATACCTCCGGAGGGTTCCCCCTGCAAGTCATCAGCTGAGTAACAAACACATGGGTAGGAGGAAAGGATAAGCTAAGAACCTCTGAAACAATTAGAGGGCGTACCCATGGCTTGAAGAGAGCTGGGAATAATTTCCCTTGCTGTCAATCCTACCTCAATAAACTGGTTCAAAAATACAATTTAAAAAAAAAAGTGTATCTTTCCACAAGTGAAGTGAAAATTCTCATAGTTCACTCAACATTGGGTAGTACACCCAGAGAGTGTTGCCTTGATGGTGGGGCAAAACCAGCCCCAGACTCCATTCTCTTCTGGTCCCACTCAACAGAGCTTCTTAAAAGCAAGACCGGAAAGGATCAAACTATTTATGAGTACTTTAATGACATCCAGAAACAAAGCACAAAAATATCCATAGGAATAAAAATATCTGGGGCGCCTGGGTGGCTCAGTCATTAAGCGACTGCCTTCGGCTCAGGTCATGATCCCAGGGTCCTGGGATCGAGCCCCGCATCGGGCTCCCTGCTCGGCGGGAAGCCTGCTTCTCCCTCTCCCACTCCCCCTGCTTGTGTTCCCTCTCTCACTGTGTCTCTCTCTGTCAAATAAATAAATAAAATCTTTAAGAAAAAATATCCAACACCCAAGAAGATAGAATTCACATCTAATCAAAAATTACCAGGCATAGAAAAAAGTTGAGAAAAAAAGTTTCATCTCCTTTTTCACCCCATTCTACCTCCTCTCTCTTGTGCCCAGATCTGGCTGGAAGGACTTCCAACGAGACTACCCCCTACCCCAGAAGCACAGCACTTCCCCCTGTGACTAGCTGACACAGACTCTTGCTGTCAAGCCCCAGCACGGGACTGGCCTGGACTATGCTGAGCTCAAGGGCCCTCTGAGCCTGCCCTTCCAGCCCCAGCCCTCTATGAGGGTGCCCTCATAGCCTAAGACCTGAGGGACACTGTGCTCTCTTGCTCCCTTAGACACACCTGCCCGGGTGGACGGATACAGGTCAACCATGCTGGGGGGCACAGTGCCTGATAGCTTGACTGACCCAGAAACCATCCCTCCAGGGCACCTGGGACTTTTTTCTAAAAAACATACAGAACTGATAGGCAAGATAACATTTCTTTTTAATGAAACCAATATTTTCCCCCCTTTTTCTCTTTTGGTTTAAGCAACCAGTCTGCTCTACTCTCATTGCCTCAGGAAAGGTATGTCATAAACAGAGCAAATTATTATTTTTTTAAGAAGCCTTTTCCTGGCATTTATGTCTCCATGTCTATACAGTTCCTTAAAGAACAGAAAGGATTCTTAATAGAGATTTAGATTTGGAATAATTTTATAAAGGAAGTAACATTCTCCCTAACGTTTAAGGCTGGGCCTGAAACTTCTGAGGAGCCAGGAGAGCTGCCAGGGCCCGTGGATGACCCAGCGCCCACTCAAGGAAGCCCCCTGCATGGCCTGTGTCCAGCGAGAACTCCCCTCAATAGCAGGACCAGTACTTTTGCCCACTGGCTGCTCCAAAAGAGAGGCTGCTTCTCTCTACCCCAGCACTTTGCATCCTTCCCCATCCACCCTCATTACTAAGCGTGGATTAATGGTCCTACAAAGTATCGCTGCCTAGCAACCTGGGGAAATCTTTGCCCTCCACTTCCGGGGGGGGGGGGAGGGGGGGGGGGGGGGGTTTAAAGCAAGTTAAACCCTCCTGAGCCCTGCACAGTGGCAGCCCCTTTCACTCCTCCCAGACCAGAACTTTCACCTCAACAATTTTGTTCTCACGCTGACACACACGTTTTTTTCAGCTCATTTGCCCCTTTCCGTTGTTTGGGCCAACTCTCTCTCCTGCCTCAGAGGAGTCCTACGAATAACCAGTTGCATTGGGAATCCAAAACAACCTTTTAAGGCTACCCTTGAAGCCCATTTATAAAGCTGACTTTAGAGGGAAAAAAATACAATTGGGAACTTGATGTTTTGAAACTTGAAACAAGCAGAAAGATTTATTGCTCTTAGGTTAGTTGATCCTACAAATCTTGATCAATGTTTAATGCAACCTAAAAGCAAAATAAAAAGTAAATACGATTTAATACAGAGTTGTGACTATGTAAATGAAGCTTTTTGATAGTTTCAAATTATTTCAAGTAAGATCCAAGCAAATGTTCTCAAGCATTTATTTTTTTTAAATATTTTTTATTTTTTATTAGAGAGAGAGAGTACAAGCAGGGGGAGCAGCAGGTAGAGGGAGAGGGAGAAGCAGGCTCCCCGTTCAGCAGGGAGCCCGATGTGGGGCTCGATCCCAGGACCCTGGAATAATGGCCTGGGCCAAAGGCAGCCGCTTAACTGACTGAGCCACCCAGGCACCCCTCTCAAGCATTTATTAACCCATCCTTTCTTTTACTTCTCTTGCTCCCCTTTCTTATTGTTATCCTTCTGGCACAGGTGGGGGGGTCCTCTTCCTGGATCTGCCCCTTAAATGATGGAATTTCTAATGCATTCGCTGGAGCCTCGTCCTGCACACGCTGCACGCTCTCCGATGTACCTTACTCCCTGCCTCTCCTAGCTCCACAGAGCACATAGCCCATAATTGCTGCCTTCCTATCTCCTGCCTGGACCTCTCTCCTGTAGTCTGGACCGGTATCCCACATCAAGTGGTCTTTAGCCAATTATATCTTCTTGTCTCAGGGTCACCTGAAATTCAACATGTCCACAAGTGAAGCCATCATTTTCATAAAACCTACTTCCTCTTCTTACTTTCCTCAACTCAACAAATGATTAAGCTCTTAGTTCAGTTGCCCAAGGCAGAAATCTGGGCATTCCCCTTGACTTCTTTCTGTCCCTCATCCTCCCAGCCAATATCGAATCCACCCAGTTCTCCCCATCTCTGCTGTCTACACCCTGTCCTAGCCCTGGTCAGTTATCCTGCAGCTGGACCATTGTAAAACCTCCTAAGGGGTCTCCCCTTTCCACACCTGCCCACTCAAATCCTCTCTCCCTCCTCTAAAATCACCTCTCCAGTCCTTACATAGACTCTTTCAGTGACTCTTGACATACAGAGCACAGTGTAATGTGGCCTGTAGCCACCTCTCCAGCTTCGAGTCACACAACCTCCCAGCTCCGTGCAACCCAGCCATAGAGCTTAACTACGCTAGGTCCTTGACAGCGTCTTACTCTCTTCCATCTGCTGTGCTTAGCTCAGGCTAACTCCTCAAGCATCATTTCCTCAGGAAGACTCATCCAGGCCAGGCCTCTCCTCTCAATGCACCTGTCCCCTGGCCCGAGCCCCCAGAGGGCAGGGACCCCATCTGTTCTGTTCACTGCTATTCGCTAGCTCCCTGCATGGTACCCAAACACCCACTGTTAATAAAAACGTCTCTACTCACTGATTAGCACCAAGCCCTTTGAGCTCCCCCTTCTGAACAGGCCGCCAACGCCATCTCAGTCTGGATTACTGCACTGGCCTCTTAACCAGTGTCCTCATATCTCTCTCTGCATCCTCCCCTCTGTGCCAGCCTTTCTAAAATGCTGATTGCTGATTGCATCAGCCTCCACTGCCTTTAGGATAAAATCTACATACTTGTCTGGGCACAAATTACCAAGCCTTTTATGGCCTATTCCTGCTCCCTCCCCTGCCTGGCCTCCCCTCCCTCCCTGCCTCACACCCCCCACTCTCCCCTGGGGTGGGTCTCATACTGGCTATGCTCTCAGACCCTCCCTCTCCTACCCCCAGCAACCAGTCACCAGCTTCCTATGGGAAGCCTTCCCTGATAGGGAGGGCTCTTCCACTGGGCTGGCTACCCCACTTTGTCAGTGCACATGGTTAGGTCACTAAATGGACCCTCGGCCCAGACAGTCCTGGTCTATACCCGCAGATCTGGCTTAGTTATTAACAGCTCCCCTGTTCACTCTCAAAACCTACTGCTCTGGCTGATAAATCACTTGATCACTCTAGCAATGACTATTAATTGCTTGTCCGATTGTCTGCCCTCCTCCCCCCCTCCCCCAGACAAGGTAAATAACTATGTGTTTTATGCACAACAGCAACAGGCACAGTGCCTGGTACATAGAAAACACTTCTGGGGGCGCCTGGGTGGCTCAGTTGGTTGGGCGACTGCCTTCGGCTCAGGTCATGATCCTGGAGTCCCGGGATCGAGTCCCGCATCGGGCTCCAGTCCCGCATCCGGCTCCCTGCTCGGCAGGGAGTCTGCTTCTCCCTCTGACCCTCCCCCCTCTCATGTACTCTCTCTCTCTCTCATTCTCACTCTCTCAAAATAAATAATAAATAAATCTTTAAAAAAAAAGAAAACACTGTATGCTTATTAAACAAGCAAATGTACTTGTATACTGTAAACGCATGCACTTTCATTGGATACTTATCGGGTTCTAGTGTTTGCCACCAAGAATCAATTAGCTGCCCCACCCCCACGCACCTCCAAAATTTAACTTAAAAATTATGTATTTCACCAAAGGATTTTAAATATATATTTGGAAGAAATTTTGAGATTTTCAAAGCCTAAATCCAAAATATATAAATCACCTTCTGCACAAGGGCACACTGTGACCAGCTCCTCTCCCATCAGTGCTGACACATTTGCAAGGAGCCAGACATGTGCCCACCCTGACCCTTGTGGCTGGCGGCACACGTTCACCAAAGGGCAGACGGCCCGTCAGGAATAGATGGTCAGCACCCAGGGAACTGATTTTCTTTCTCTGACACTAAGGGCTCATTTGCCAACCAACCCTGGCCTCCTATGCACTAGGCTTTCCCAAAGTCCAAAAGAAAATTTGTTTTTCACCAGCCACTTTCTTGAAGATACTTACATCAGATAGCATCGGCTCATCAAGTTCTTCCACTCTGCTCAGGTTAGGTGCCCCATATCGATCACTAATTTCAGCTAGTGTTTTGCCTGAGTCTGATGTTACATCCTACAATTGTTAAAATTCATTTCTTAATTTTAAATGAGTTCAAAAGTAAGACATTAATTTTCTTTTGATTTCGCTAAGAAATGTCTGAATTATAACATCAAAATTCAACATTAACGGAATGCACCACTACCTGTTAATAGAGAATTCTAGAAATAAATGCTAAAACTTAATTAAAAAGTACATTAAGAAACTTAAGATATATCATTGTAAGTAAACATATGGTCAATGAATATCTCATGACACTCTGGTTTTTAAAAATACAAACAGAAACCGAATGTCCCATTTTTATTCACTTTGAGATATTGCTTTAAATCACATCGTACTTGTGAATTTTTGTTACTAGAACACATATTTGGACTATCAATTTTGATAATTTCCTTATAAAAAGTTTAGCTAGTAATGCATCAATGTTAAGCTTTGCCTTCTAGGACACTCATTCATTTCACTTAACACAGAATAACTTTTCCTTCTCACCTCTGAATGTGAACTATCTTCACTCTTAGCTATATTTTCTATATTCATTCTCATCTCCTATAATATATAAAAATGAAGAAAAATATTTGAACACACTTTCCGTTTCGATTCCATGTTTTATTTTCAAGAAGTTTTATTTTTATATAATGCTATGATCAATTTACCAGCAAATAGGTCATCACTCTTAAAGGGGTGATGTGAATATATTTAGTACAAAACTGCAACTCGCAGTCTCATTTAACACTTGCTACTAATAGAAAGCTATGTTTTATTTATAATTAAACACAATGCCTTAAAAAATGAAATGATCTGAAACTTTAAACCTGAAGCCAAATTATTAGCCAATGTGACAAGTGACAAAACAGAAACCTTTCTTCTCTCATTTTACATCACTGAATCTTCGCTGAAGAGAAAGGGGGTCTATAACTCCATGGATTTATGGGCATGGGCACATGCGTGTTTATCTTTGCACACCCTACCGCACTCCGACTAAGATAAGCTCAACATCCCTGTTTTTGTTAACTACGTGTTTTTTTAAACTATGTATACAGCTTTGAATTTCTCTTTTTAAGAATCTAATTTTTTTAATTCAATTCATCCTTCCAAATTTTAAAAAAGTGCTTTACATAATGATGTTCTCGTTTAAGCCATGAATACCCATATTTTATAAAACCTACTTCTGTTTTTAATCTTAATTATGGAATAAATAGAGAAGTCACATATGAACAAGAGAGACCAACCGGCTGGGGGGCGTCTGGGTGGCTCGGCCGGTTAAGCCAAATACCCTCCCTATTACAAAGAACTTAACCTTGCGCATCCGCTACCCTAGTTAGGAACAGCTGTGCCTGGACTGGAAGGTTGCTTTTACCACCATGAGAGAACTCTGCTGCTCGCAGAGCAGTTTCACACATATGACCATAGCTGATCCTTACAACAAACCAGTGAGAGACTGTTAGTAATATATTGCACTGTTATCCCTCTTTTTCAAAAAGGCGAACTGAGGTTGAAAAAATTGTAAGACTTGTCTCAGCCACGCAGCTAGTGGGTGGCACGTCCCTGAATTCCACGTTATAACAGCTGCAAGAAACACTTTGAGGGTTCTATGAGGTTTTAAATAAAACAGACTTTTTCTTTTTTTTTATAAAACTTCAAATTACCGTCTCTAATTGTTCTTGAGCTCTCTGTAGTTCTTCTATTCTTTGTCTCTCTTTCTCTTGCATTTCCAACTCCAGCTGGAACTCCAGCTGTTGCTGAATATTCAGAAATAAATAAGTCATATTAGCGTCAGATCAATTGCAAGGAATTAACTCTAATCACTCTGAAATGTCCCCGGATAATCAAGTTTATACCTACCTAAATTTCAGAAGCTTACAAGAATAAATGATCACAGCCACCTAATACTTTAGCTTTTACAAATATTTCCTGAAGTCTAACATAAAAAAGGAAGCTTCTTTAACCACTAATTGGTAGCAAAGCACAATTTGTACAAAATCAAGTTATTTTCTCTGTTCTCCTTGAAGCAACAAATGAGATTGCAGTACTTTTTTTTTTTTTAGATAAAATCCTTTCAAGCATAGATGGGTGTTCAAAGAGTCAAACCTTAGTTGCAGAAGAGTGCATGAGAAAATCTTAAGTATATTATGCGAAACTATAGATAATAAAAAATATACTGGTCCCAACTCAACATATATGCCACACTAGAATAATGGTCAGCAAACTAAATTCTGTGGGCCAAATCTGACTCAATCCTGTGTTTGCATAGCCCATGAGCTAGGACAGGTTTTACATTTTCAAACGGTTGAAAAATATTGAAAGAATAATAGTATTTCCTGACACTATAAAAAATTCAAATTTCGGTGCCTATAAATGAAGTTTTATTGAAACACCATCATGTTCATTTGCTTACTTATTGTCTGTGACTGTTTTTGCACAATAGCACAGTTGAGTGGTTGCAACAGGGACCCTAGATGGTGCTCTCATCACTTTGTTGCTCAGCGTGCTACAAATCACAGTAATATCATTTTATCTCAGGAGTTCTTGGAGTGCCACGGTATCCCTACACCATGACAGTTTTTAAATTGGTGTGTACCTATCATGTCATAACAAGAGAAGAAGTGGACTTTGAATGGTGCCCCTTTAAGATACAGTGGAGAGTATTTTATTACCAAATTAAATGGCAAAGTATGGTGTTTACTAAGCAAGAATACTTTACTAAAAGAATGCAATAAACATCAATATTACCAGACTAAACACTTACCATCACAGTATTCTCAACTCACATGAAAACAAAGGTCAGACATATTAGAATATTTTAAACAGAATTATTTCATCATAGTAAAATTTCTTCACAACAATTAAAAATAAAAATGAGGCTGCAACGAAAGCGAGTTTCCAAGTGGCTCATTTGTCAGCCAAGCAAAGAAGTTCATTTCCCAATGGTGATTTAATTAAAACATGTTTGATTTCAGTGTTCCAAAAAAAATAAACTTAAATTAAGATTATTAGCCTTTTGCTGAAAACAGTTGCTCAAAGAGTTGATGACACTGGGAGCAACATCAACAGTCAATTAAAAACAAGGCAAATTATTTTGAGCAATTTTCCTTGGCTCTTGATGGGTAGACAAATGTTCCCAACACTGTTCAGTTGTTGTTTACTGGTATTAATGCTGAGTTTGAAGTGACTGAAAGATCAGCCTCTATGAATAGTCTTCATGGGACAACTATAAGCAAGAGATATATTTTCTTTTTTTTTTAAAGATTTATTTATTATTTATTTTGAGAGAGTGAGGATGAGAGAGAGAGAGAGAGTACATGAGAGGGGGGAGGGTCAGAGGGAGAAGCAGACTCCCTGCTGAGCAGGGAGCCCGATGTGGGACTCGATCCCAGGACTCCAGGATCATGACCTGAGCCGAAGGCAGTCGCTTAACCAACTGAGCCACCCAGGCGCCCGAGATATATTTTCTTTATCTTCTTTCTTTTTTTTTTTTTTTAGCAGAGGGAGTGCAGGCATATACACTGTGGAGGGGAAGGAGGAAAAGAATCTCAAGCTGGCTCCATGCTCAGCGTGGAGTCCAACCCGAGACTTGATCCCACCACCCTGACATCATGACCTAAGATGAATGAAATTAAAAGTTGGACTGAACCACCAAGGTGCCCCAAGCAATATTTCCACACTTGATCTTAGCCAAAAGGCCGAGAAGCGATTCAAGCAATATTTCCAAAGAAGTTGAGAAACATTAATTCAGTACAACCAGCAGTGAAACCTGCTAAGATGTGTTACAACCAATGGTGATAAAAAATGTGTGTGGAACAGAAAGAGGCTTAGTTGGACAAGTTTACAAAGCTTGTGAAAATGCAGTGTTGAAAGCCTAAGAGTATTCATCGTGTTATTCAACAGCAGGTGCTCTGCAGAAAATGCTTGAATCTGTCATGTGCTATTGAGCCAGCAGAGCCAACAGTGTCCTTCATTCATTCTTAAGAATGCAACCATCATCGGTTCTGTGGATTTTGTCAGAAACAGAAACTGAATAAATCTTGGCTTGCCCCAGCACACAGCAGTTGCATATGGCTTCACGGTGCTGACGTGTTACTGTGCATTGTGGGGCTCAGGACCAAGACTGAAATTTTTTGGAATGAGAAGAATCATTCTCAATCATTCTCAATCACTATTATCAAACCTTAAATGGCTTTGGAAATAAGCTTTGCTGCGAACTTAATAATATTTTTAAGTCAATTGAAACTAAACTTACAAGGCAAATAGCACTCAAATGTAAAACTTCACACTTGGGGAAAGCCATTTCAACAACTAATGTTTGAATCACAATGTCAAGCTGCTTTATACACTTCCCATGTAGTCAAAACCTAAAACAAGAAACTAGATCCCCCAAATTCCCACACAAATCTGCAGCAGGTATATTTCCCAAGCTCAAACTATAGGCCCAGAGTATTTTGTGGCCTTGATTTCAGTGCAAATGAAATTTCCATATCCCCAAATCCAGTTAACTGGGTAATTGAGAAGCTTTTACCAACCTTCAATTGGAAGTGATTAATCTACAAGGTAATGACATGCCAAAAGGCAAAACAAGATAAAAATCTAATAGAATTCTACATATGCATTCCAAGAGATAAACATGGTCAAAATTATGTGCACATGGACTGATATCAGCATTTGGCAGGACTAATCTCTCAGCTATTTTCAAAGAGGAAATACTAAAATCTCATTTCAGATCAGCATTAACAGATAAATGTTTTCAATCAATTTTGATGACAGGGAACGTTTTGAACTCCAACTAAATGAAATGTTATCTCTAAAAAAATAATTTAATTCTCCTCAGCAGTAAGCCTATATTCCAAAAGGAAAATTGTATTCAATTATTATTTTTAAAAAATTTTTATTTCATCGATGTAAATTTTGTGGAAATTTGTTCTCTCTTGCTATATCTACATAATATATCATAATACATACATGTCCCAGTATGTCTTGCAAATGCATTTTTAAAAAATAATATATTCTTATAAATAAAGAGATAATAAACAGTGGCTACTATTTATTTACAGAAGGTTGTTAAAGGGAATTTCTTAGTAACTCTGTATTATCCACACTGGGATAAAAGTGATGGGGTAGATGGTTGAAGTGCAAGAACATAGCATTTGATCCACTTTCAGAAACTGGTGGAGGAAGTGAAATGACTAATCTCTCAACAACACTGCAAAATGCAGTTGTTAAATACCAACCACATTGGTCAACAGAACCAGTTTCTTAACATTTCCAGGAAAATTTCAAAGCTCAATTTCTTTCTTCACACAGGAGTAAAACCATTAGAAATATACTCCAACAAGTCAAACAAACAAACCAAAAAGCTTTTACTTCCTCAGTGAGCTCTTAGGTAGAAAATGGCAGTCAAAATACTTCTCTGTTCTCAGGGCCCTGGGCTTACTGGAGAGTGCCTAAACTTTCAAGGAATTTCAAGTCAATGGCACTGACTGTGAGAACAACAGGGAGGGAACCAGAGTCCTGATGCCCCAGCTCACTTGACTCAATGGTGGGCTCAGAACACCTGTCTCTTTGCATCTCCAGCTCACTCTCTCTTAAGCTCTTCTCCAGTGGACCTTCTCTCCACAGGTCCCTTTCTCCTTCTCTCATCTATTTCTGGCCACTACACTGTTTCTTTAATGGGTCATAAAATCTTGTGCAGACTTTTATTGCCATCTTCCACTCTGGACCCAATGTTCAGGGTTCAGTGCCCAGGGTTCAGTACCCAGGGGATCCCTTCATACTGATGAACACAATACAGCTAGAGAAGTGCTTGATTTCTACCATTGCCAAATTTTACCTAAGTGAGATAAAGTAGATGAGCCAAAGAAAGTCAAGTACCCCCACATTTGTGATGGAATTGTCTTAGGGAAGGAGAACTGCTGAGTTCTCCTCATTCTGAGAGACAGGGGACAGATACTAGCTGTAGAACCTATAAGAGGAAGGGCAGATTCTCACTCAAAGTTGGGGCAATTCTGCAGTAGACACTCACCCATTTGGATGATTGTTTGACACCCAACTCAATACTCTGCAACCTCCCCATAAGAATAAACCAAACGATTGAAAAACGAAGATTCAGGAACAGTAAAGTTTTCAACAGCCATATCCATCTCAGGTGCCTAGAAAGTTCTACCCCAGTGTCAGGGACGAGAGGTTAGGCAGAGAAGCTATTTGCCATGTCTATATTTTCCTTTTTATGCACACACCCAGATAACAGGCTTCTTTCCCTTTTACAAGTGTATAGATTTGAGTCGAGACTCTAGGGTTAAGTACTATGTGGTAGAACAAAAGGGATAACTTAAATTTCAGAAGCTCTCCATAAGATAAATTAGTCCAAAAGCCACTCTGGAACTTTCCCTATCTAGTTTACAATCCGTGACTCATCCCTGAAACCATCTCTTACCAATATCTTCAGCTCCCCAATCCTGCTACCCCAAACGTACTTTAATCAAAAGTTCTGCCCCTTCCACATCGTCACTCAAATCTCTAGGCCTAAGTGGAGAAAATCACAGAATCGTAAAACCAAACCAAATGGCAACATTATAAATGTCTGGTCTCTAACTCTGACAGGGTACTCAGTGCTACCAAGGAAAGCTAAGTTTCCCGGTCAACTCCACCATTCTTCACAGTTACCATTTCAAACCCTCCCCACTCTCCTCATTCCTGCCACTTTATCACCTCATTCTTGGAAGACGATCACGGTCCCTACCTCATAAAGAAGAAAGAGTCATACAGAAACTGTTTTAGACCTTGTGCCACAAAACCTATACAACCACATGTACCTAGACCATCCTCTCCCTATCTCTTAACATCAATCATCCTCTGCCCTCTGCTCCCCCCTCCAAAAAAAAAAAAAAAAACCCAACCTCCTTCCCTGAAAATCTCCTTGAAAGCATTACCTGCACTCACCATCTCCCCTGTTCCACCCCACCCCATGCACACTGCTCCCTCCAAGGTCACCAGTGGTCTTGAATGAGCACTTTGCAGTCTTGCTCTCACTAAACCAGCAGTAGGCATGGTCTCTCCCCATGGCCTCCATGAGAGCACACTCCCTGGGTCTTCCTCCCACCCCACTGCTGCTATTTCTTTAGCAAAGAAGACATAGATACAGAAATACAGAAACATGAAGATATAAGAGAGCCATTCCTAACTCATTAGAGATAGGGAGTTTTTCAACATTTGGGTTGCACCACACTGAGGCGGACACCACTAACTCCAGTCACCCCTGAACTCCCATGCTTGTCTCACCTGCTGGAACAGAAGCTCCTCTGCTTTGAGCCTCTCCATCATTTCCTGCTGTATCACAGCTAGTTCTCTCTCACGCTCCAAGTCGACCATTTCCTTCTGTCTCTGGCAGTGTTAAAAACAATGTCATGTGAATAATTTGATAGAACAATTTATAAAAACAATCTTGAAAACATGTTAATCACCAACAAGAGGGAAAGGGGAAGCAAATTTTACTCCACTCCATTTAGAAAATGTGTAATAATTTGGGGAAATGTGTGTTTTATTTGAACAAAGAGCATAAAATTAAAATTATACCCCGGGTATGATCACAATTGTGTAAAAAAAAAAAAGTCTACAAATGTATAGAAAATCTATAGAAAAAAGATTAGAAGAAAATACCTAAAAATCTAAAAAGAGGTCTTCTGTGAAGTATTTTTTCTTCTTTCTGTTTTTTTCATATTGTCCAAGTTTTTCATAATAAACGTACTACTTTTATAATAGAAATAACATTGAACTTTTTAAAAAAGCAGACAAATGGGAACAATTATTTTACGCTTCTAATTTTCTAAAAGAAGATCCTTACTTACCAGTTGCTCCATGGTCACATTTTCCTTATATTTGTAAATCCACAATGCTAAATATTCTATTGGATCCACTGGGCGAATTCTTGCCACTTCGGCAAGACCTTGAGTTAAACATGTCCCAAGGCACTTTTGAAGATATATCGACTCCATTTCTCACCTCTGACTTCTAAAAGGTAAATGTTTTTGCATTAATGCAGGGAATGTTCAATAAAGCACAATAAAAGTACAGTCCAATGAGGCCAACAAAGCATTGCACCCTGGCATGGGCACCTCCCATCAGGGATGACACAAGCAAGCTGGCTCCATGAAGCTTCTAACAGTTTCCAAAAAGACTCCACAAATGTCACAACAGCTACCTCTAAGATGTACTTTCAAAATCCTGATGGCTCTCAAGGCCAAGAGTCAGAAAAGAACAACAAACAAAACCCTGAACCAGCAAAGGGAAGGAAATAACAAAGATTAGAGCAGAAATAAATGATATAGGAGCTAAACAAACAAAAAACAATGAAAAAGAAAAGAGTCAGAAAAAGGGATACCGTCGTTATTGTGAGATGGCTACATGCCAAGTGCATGTCTCACTCGATCCTCACAACGTGGGTAATAAATCAGTGTCATTACCCCCGCTGTGTAGATGAGGAAGCCCAGGCACAAAGAGCTTATAAGTCAACATGGTGAACATGGGATGCATATCCAAATCTTGATTCCAGAGTCATTATCTTAATGATTCAGATGTTCCTACCAGGCCACGAGGGTCAGTTTTAGAAAACATCACAATACTCCACCTCAAAAAAACACAAAAGTCCATGAATCTCCAAGGACAAAGGATAAAAAAAAAAAAATTCAACCATCAAAGAATAGCATATGAAGCTCCTCACACTTTGGCCCCAATTTCTTCTCAGGTTCACCTCCAGACATCTCTTCTGCCTCCAGCATATCCTGGGCTCTAACTACAGTGAACATTCTGACATTCTGCCAGCATACCTTGCACACTTCCATCTCCAAGACTTTTGCACATAATTATCCCTCACTATCTCCCAGCTTAGATTTATCTCCTCATCTGCAAAATGTAGGTCATCTCTCATTCCCTGAGCCTTCCCAAGCAATGCAAAGGAAATCCTCCTCCAAGCAACTCGCACAGCACCTGTCATCCAACCTGAGACTCATCTGTGTACACACACATCTGTCCTCCCAAGACAAGTTCCTCCAGCTCCTCAAGGAGTGTGTTTTAATCACAGGGTGAGCACACTGGCTTCCCTTGGAGGCAAGTGAGTGAGTTTCTCCACTTTCCCAGTAATGTTTCAGTATATTCAGTTATGATGATGGACAGGAATAATCTTAGACCAGATTTGAAGGAAGGAGAGAAGGAAGGAAGGAAGGGGAAATGTAGCAACCACTGTACTTTGGGTGCTTTGAAAAAACTGATCACCCTCAAGTTATCCTTATGGAATCCAGTCATTTCTAAGAATCTAATGAAATGTATTCATTATTCAACAAATATATACTGAGTACCTACCATAGGTCACGCATGAGTTGAATATGAAGGAATAGAATGCCAGCATGTCTAGTCCTGTCCCTGTACAAATAAATGCACTGAACATTCTGCATAAAATTTCAGAAACAACAACCTCCTGAGGTTCATAAACCCCAGTAGCGCTCTCTCTCACTTGATGGTGGTGAGTGTATAAATTGGTATAGCCCCCACAGAGAGGAATTTGGCAATATCTAGAAAATTACACAGGTATTTACCCTTTGAACCATCGATCTCACTTCTCACATGTTAACTTGCAAAAATACAGAGTGATGGGCACCTGGGTGGCTCAGTTGGTTAAGCGACTGCCTTCGGCTCAGGTCATGATCCTGGAGTCCCGGGATCGAGTCCCACATCGGGCTCCCTGCTCAGCGGGGAGTCTGCTTCTCCCTCTGACCCTCTTCCCTCTCATGCTCTCTATCTCTCATTCTCTCTCTCTCAAATAAAAAATAAAATCTTAAAAAAAAAATACAGAGTGATGATATATGCACATAGTTATTTTGCCCCGTTACTTAAACTAGTCAACCCCATCCAAAAGTTCATCCTTAAGGGACTGATGAGATACAGCTGCACAATGGATTACTGTGCATATATATTATATAAAAGACGTGAAGAAGATCTCTAAAACAGGGAGTGATCTCTAGGACATAGTGTGAAGTGAAAAAAAAGCAAGATGCAGAAATTGTAGATAGTATGCCACCTTTTGTATTAACAGCAGTGGGGAAAGGAATGTGTATGTGTGTACATAAATACAGTCATAAAAACTTAGACTCTACAAACTGGCACGAATGAACTGAATTTCCTTTCAAGCTGGCATTGGCGTCTAACCATACAGAGAGAAGGATTATAGTATTACAAATGAGTTTGAGACACAGTATCTACACTGTGCTTCTTCAATGGGATATACTCTCAAGACAAAAGTAACTGCAGTGACATCTCAATGTCATCTGAAACGTAAAGCAGGTTTCCTGCTGCTGTTCCAGAAAGATAATACATGGGAAAGGGACCATATCCCCAAGGGAGAAACCTCTGGCCTGAGAGTAGCATCCGATCGAGGGTCTGTCTCATATCTATGAGCATAGATTAGCTGAACCCAGGTAAGCTCGTTACTTGGCTTCTCATGTTTCCTGTCCATGAAATGGAGGTAATAGCCATCTCATAGGTTGTTGTAAGGAATGTTAATTTTCATATACACCAAGAGGCATCTCGGCTCAATATAAGAAAGCCCTTTCCCAGAGAAACAGCCACCTCAAGCCTGGAGAGGTTGTCACAAGAAATAGAAAGAAGTCCTTTACCCATGCCTAGGAGAAAGCCAGCCAGCCTAGTGGGAAAAGAGGGGATTCCGGATTCGGGATTGCCAGACGTAGCACATAAAAATACGGGATGCCCAGTTCAACACAAATTTAAGAGAAAGAAGGAATGATGTGTTAGTACAGTGTAGTATAATACAAAATCATTCGTTGTTTATCTGAAATTCACAATGAACTGGGTGTCCCGTGTTTTATCTGGCAACCCTCGTTTGGGGGCGCTTGGGTTCATTTTCCTATCCTGGGTCTACCGAAGAGACTCCCGCCTTCCCCGTCCCCTCGATCCGGAGCGGCGAGGCCAGCGGAGGAGATAGGGGTGGGGGGGGGAGGAGGAGGAGGAGGCGCTCCCCAGGCGCTGCACTAAAACTTCTCTCCGCCCGGAGAAGCCTAAGCCCCACACCGCTCACAAGGTCCAACGGCCCAAACAGCCGCCCCTGCGGGAGCCCCGCCAAGCACCAACAATCTGCCTGGGCAAAGGGCGCCCGCGCTCTGGATGCGCACACTCGACGCGTGCGCCTACTCTCGCCCCGCGAGTCGCGTCCCGTCGCTAGGCAACGAGCACGCGCGCCTCAGAACCCGAAACGGCGCACTGCACAAGGGCAGGAGCGCGCGGAGGGGTGAGCGCGGGGTGGGGCGCCGGGAGCGGGTGAGGGGTGGAGAACGCGCGGCGGAGGGGAGGGGCCGCGACAGTCGCGGGCAGACGGCGCGCGCGGGGTGTGGCGGGGGCGCCCCACAGAGGAGGGAGCGCCGGGGTGGGCGAGCAGAGACTCGGCACCTGGAGGCTGGGAGGAGGGGGCGGCGGAGAAGAAGAGTCGAGCCGGCTAGGCCGGTACACACTGGGAGAGACAGGGGCGGCGGGCTCGAGGGGAGGAGCCGCAGGGGGGGCCACCTGCCCACCCAGGGCGAGAAACCCCCACAGCCGCCGGCCGGAGGGGACGATCCCCGGAGTTCGATGGCCCGGGATTTTCACGGCTTCGCACCTTTGAGGTTGCTGGTGACCTCCGCTTGGTTCCTTTCAGAACCAGCTCAGGCTCCCCCACCTCCGGGAAGCCGTCCAGCCTCCACCAAGCCAGAGCCATTGCAGTCTTCCCTGACCTAGTGTTTTGTGTACAGCACTCTGCTAGCATTTCCCACGTTCTGTTTTAATTTATGCTGGGCAGTGCTGGGCAGGAGAAGCCTCCGTAAACGTTGGTTGAGACAATAAGTACCAGAGTGGGCACTGACAGATGGACGGGAGCTTGGGCTCTTGCCTGGGTTAGCAAGAGCCTTCACTGGATTAAGTCAAAAAATATGTCCGGAGCACCTACTGTGTGCCTAGCACTGGTGATACAGTGTGAACAAAGACCATCTCTATGCTTGTTGCCCTGCCTACCGAGTTGCAAGGCCATGAACAAGGAGGGGCAGTGTAAGCTGACTCCCGGCGGAGCTCTGGGAAGAATAGGCCCCTCCGCCTTGGTAAGTGTGCCTGGTGTTTGTGGAGAGAGGGCTGTAAAAGGCATCCCTTTGACCCCCTCCCTCTCCTGGCCTCACACTGTGGCTCTGTTATTCTGTCCCTACTGTCTTTGCATCAAGTTTTAGTAACTGTCAGGGCCCCTATTTCATTGAGACCATTGTTGAAAACGTGCCATTTAGAGCAGAGACTTACTCCAGAAAGCCTTAGCCATACCTACACAGAGAAGCAGGCATTCGAGGGTTGTTGGGAAGTGGAGAGCTTTTCCGGAATGCAGAGTTGGTGATCTGTAGATCTGTAACTGAATCATCCGGGGATTTTGTTAGAATACAGAATCTGAATATGTAGGTGTGGGGTGGGACCTGAGAATCTGCATTTTGACAGTCCTCCGGGTGATGCAATGCTGCAGATCATGGACCACACTTGGAGTGAAAGGGAACTGGATCCCAGGACCCTGAGATCATGACCTGAGCCGAAGGCAGAGACACTTAACCAACTGAGCCACCCAGGTGCCCCCCAAATTTAGTAGCTTTAAACACGCATTTATTCTCTTGGTAGTTTTTGAAGCCAGAATCAAAAATGAGTCTTACAGGGCTAAAACCAAAGTGTCAGCAGGGCTGGTTCCTTCCACAGGCTCTAGGGGAGAATCCACATCCTTGCCTTTTCCAGCTTCACAGGCTACCCACAATCCTTGGCTCAAGGCCCTGAATCACATCATCTTTTCTCTCTCAACTTCCACCATCACATCTCCTTGTTTCCTGTCTGACCTTAATGTGTCCCGATTATAAAGACCCTTGGGATTACAGTGTGCCTCCAAGGATAATCCAGTATTATCTTCCAATATAAAAATCTGTCATCACATCTGCAAATCCCTTTTGCCAGACAAGGTAACAGATTTCATAGGTTCCAGGTATTTGGACACTTTGGGAAGCCATTACTCAGTCCTACCACACTGTGTATTTCCAAAGAAAAATTACATTTTCTTACTCATATTTCATTGACCCAAACCAGGATATTTAACCGTGATACACTTTTTGGGGGGCGGGGAGGGTGGACATGAGGGCAAGGACATGAGGGCAAGCAGGGAGAGGGGCAGAGGAAGAGAGAGAGAATCTTAAGCAGACTTCACACTCAGCACAGAGGACTTCATTCACACTTAGCACAGAGCCTGACGTGGGGCTCAATCTCACGACCCTGAGATCATGACCTGAGCCAAAATCAAGAGTCAGACATTTAACCGACTGAGCCACCAGGCACCCCAACCTTGATACACTTCTATTATGTCATGTACAATTCACATTCAGTTTCCCCAACAACACTTTATAAAATTCTTTTTTCTGGTTCAGACTCAATCCAGAATCATGTGTTCCATGAATTTGTTAGGCCTGTTTAGGCTCCTTTGATCTGGAATGGTTCCTCCTCTTTTTTTGTCTTTCACGATCTTGACATTTCTAAGAGTAGGGGCCAGTTCCAGACTGTCTCTCAATTTGGCTTTGTTCGTATTTCCTCAGTTAGATTCCAATTTTGCATTTGGGCAAGAATCCACAGAAATATATTTCATCCCCCTAAGAAGTGCATCCCATCAGGAGACACATGATGTCACTTTGTCGCTTTCTTAATGATGTTTCCTTACATGGCTTGATTAAGGTTGTATTGGGCGGGTCTCACCACTGTAAAGTTCCTGTATTTCCTTTCGGAATTAATACATACTTTGTGGGGAGAAACTTTGAGGCTATATGAATATCCTATTCTCTATCAAATATTCATTGAGTTTTAGAACTCACTGATGATTCTGGCTTGATGCAGTTATACTGTGATGGTTACAAAATGTTGATTTTTTTTAAACTCCATTATTCTTCCCATGTTTATTAGTTGACATTCTACCTTAAGAACTTGCCTTCTCTCCCATTCACTCACTTACCAATTTTTTCTTATATTGATTCACAGATTTTTTATTTTACCCAATTAGTTACAATCCATTATAGCCAGTATTTATTTCAATGGTCTAATTGCGCTAGATTGGGTGAGTAGCTGCCCAATCTGCTGGCTCCTGTGTCCTTAACCACTTATTTTCTAGCATTTTTCTACTTTGTGGGACAAGAAAATGCTCCAGGCTTCTTGGATCTTTCCTGCCCCAACCTTAGAATTCAGCATTTCTCCAAGGAACCCTGATTGTTCTTAAGTGGTGAAGGCTATTTCAAAGCAAGTTCCCTACACTCAGTGTGCTCATTGCTACTTAAGTGTTTTTGCCTCTAGCCTTTTGCAATGAAAAGAGCTAGGAAATATATAACTTTTTTCTATATACTTATCTATGTATCTTTCTTTCCTTAAACTGAAAAACGCCTCCAGAAAATGTTAAGACTGGAACGGAGCCTTTATTATTCATTTTATTATTAACTCTTTTGGACTTAAAATGTGTAAATTTCAGCAATATGGAGGTGATCAGAAATAGGTGTTAGTCCATTGTATGTCACAGTCTTCCACTATAATAGCTAATATTTGTTAAACACGTACTAGGGCACCCGGGTGGCTCAATCGGTTAAGAGTCTGCCTTCGGCTCAGGTCATGATCCCAGGGTCCTGGGATGGAGCCCCACATCAAGCCCCGCATCGGGCTCTCTGCTCAGTGGAGAGCCTTCTCCCTCTCCCTCTGCCCCTCCCCTCTGCTCATGCTCTCTCTCTCTCTCTCTGTCAAATAAGTAGAAAATCTAAAATATATATGTATATATTTATTAAACACCATGTGCCAGGCTAAGTGCTTTACATGTATTTGTTATCTCTTCTAACCCCCACAATTATGAGGCCCATATCTTTATTATTTTGTTCTACAGATGAGAAAAACAAGGCTCAGAGAGACCGGATGACTTGTTGAAGATCACACAGCTAATAAACGGCAGCACCAGGACCAGAACTTGGTCTGTCTGTTCCTGGAGTCTATGTTCAGACTGCGGTTCTACGTGGCCACCCCTAACTTATGGTCTGACTCAGGCTACATTGCCTCTAGCTCTGGAAATCTGATTAATAGTAAATGCCGGGGCATCAGTTCAACCTCAAGTAGTTTCTTGCTTGAGCACTAGAGTAGAATAGTGTGTTATGCACTGGCAGAGCTCATGAGCATGGGTAGCTACGGTGCCTGCCATTCTCCCTCCCTCTGCTCCCCAGGGTTTCTCCGTGGCCCCTTCTGAAATAAATAAGCCTTTCTTATCTATGTCACAGATGACTGTACCTTCCAACCTCACACAGCTTGCCGCGTCCTTAGAACCCCTCCTGGGACCTCCTGCCTGTGAAATTATTTCCTCCCTAGAGATGTGTGGGTAAGGGGTAAGTGGAGACCTTAGCCACCCTTAACCACAACTATATCAAGCTCCCCTCCGGCCTCATGACCCCCAGGACCTATTTATTATCTGACCTAAGACGGTCAGAGAGCTTTTAAAAAAAAGTCCATTTAAATATAAGAGCAATTGGCAAGTATGTATTTACTGTTTCTTTTGGGAAGGTTGGCATCCAGAAGTATCTCATATGTATCCTGAAATAAATCCGAATTGACTAGAATGTGTCTATTTTAAAAATCAGATTCCATTTATAAGGTAGTGTGACCCCGGGCCCACAAGGATGGAAACTGACTATCTGAAGAGGTGCTTTGGCAATTGCCTGAGCCGGGCACTGGCAGAGGTGGCAAAGGTTCGGCCCAGTGATCCCGTCGAGTACCTGGCTCACTGGCTTTATCATTACAGGAAAACCACTAAAGCAAAAGAAGAGGTGTGTATGTGCTCAGAGTTGTCTTGGGGAGGGCTTTCCAGCTTTCTCACGGTAATTTGAAATCCAAAGCAAGATTCCAGAGCTAGCCCAGAAAGTTTCTTGGTTTTTTCGACTTGTGAGATCCGTTAGGCCCAGATATTCCTGAAGAGTGGGGAGTCTGGGGGCTGAAGAAGGAATCCAACTCAGAGGGGTTGAGGGATTGGTGGGTTTGGAGCTACTGGCAGGCAAAAGCTGATCACAGGAGCAAACAGGGCCCCCGGCCTGTGGTCTGTCCCCGTGAGAGCAAGCCCATTTGTACAGGCTTCCCAGGGGCTGACCTGACGCAGCTCCCCTCTCACCTCAGGAGAGCCAAGAGATGATCCAGCTGAAGGAAGAACATGATAATAGCCTCAAAGAAACCAAAATGACAGAAATGCTGAAGCAAGAAGAGCGTCAGATTCAACAGCAGCATGCAAAGTGCCACAAGGTAGGGAGGGAGGAACCCAGCAGCGGGCAGGTGCACAGCCCAGAGCTGGATACCGGGAAATCCACAGGCCAGCAAGGCCACAGCACCCAGCGGACTGAGGCTCCCAGAGCTTGCTTCTCTCCGTCTTCTTATGGTTATATGTCCACCAATCTTATTGACAATCCTGGTCAATGAAAAAAGGAAATATCGAGAGGCAATTCCATTTTAGATTGCAGGAAATACCTTAGATGTTACTCATTTTAAAAAATCAGATTTTTAAAAACTCATAAGTGACTTGGAACTAATATATATTTCCTTACAAGATCCTTTGAACCCTTTTCAAAACTTATTCAGTATTTCAGAAACCAAATATGGTTATCAGTGTATAATTCAGGTATATTGTTTTATTTATTATCTACTATATACCTCAGTGTTTTAGTTACTGTGTGCTATTTATTTATGTATCAAGCCACAGATTGTGTCTTCTCTGTGATGCTGTAATACTGGTTGTAAATTATTACCTTCTTGTAGTTGGAAACAGCTGTGTGTTCATTAGCCTGACAAGCTTATCTTTTATTTCCCATGACTTTTGCCACCACCTTCTGAAAAGTACTTCGTGCAGATGTTGTGCTTTCTATAAAGTGCATGATACTGGACAGGGAATCAACTCACGGGGCTTGATATCTGACATTTTTCCAACTATCACTATATCCGGTGCATTAAAATCTTCAGGGCAGTCTCGTACAATTCACGAGCTTTTGCTAGTTTCCAAAGCCGCCTCTGATGAAGAGACATGAAACCATGTCTAACCGCACTAATATGCTCGACTCTCCTCAATAATTCATAGATTTATTTTCCAAGGTTGGGTGTTTTATGGGTAAATTAAGTCAAAAGAAAGGTAGTTTCATACTACTGTTTGTCACTAGTCTAAAGGAATTCTCACTCAGGAATAGTTCATTCTTTGAACAGGTGCCAGGAGACGATAAAGGGAAGGTCATGACGCAGAAGTTGTCATCCCCTTGTTGCCCCTTGCTAACACCATGCTTCCCTGTTAACAGAAATATCAATATATATAAGGTAG